TAGAAAGAACAAGAGCAATGTTAAGGGCTGCAAGCCTAGAAAAATCATTCTGGGCAGAAGCAGTCAATATCGCCTGTTATTTAGTGAATCGAGCTCCATCAACTGCAATAGAGCTGATGACACCAATGGAGATGTGGACTGGTAAACCAGCTGATTATTCAAACCTCCATATATTTGGAAGTATTGTGTACGTGATGTACAACTCCCAAGAAATCTCAAAGCTGGATCCAAAATCCAGGAAATGCAAATTCTTGGGGTATGTTGATGGAGTAATGGGGTATCGCTTGTGGGATCCCACTACCCGTAAAGTGATCATCAGCAGGGATGTTATCTTTGTAGAAGATAAACTACAAAGAAAAGAAGACGATGATAGCGCTGAAAAGTCAGAGACTACACAAATACATGTGGAAAAAGAGTTTGAACAAGGAGATTCTTCTGAAGCAGAACTAGCACATGATGAACAAGAACCAGAGAGTTCTGAAGCTCCAACAACTCGTCAATCAGATCGTGTGAGAAGACGTCCCAATTGGCACTCAAATTATGTTATAGAAGGTAATATTGCATACTGCCTTTTAACAAAGGACGGTGAGCCATCAATATACCATGAGGCAATAAACAACTCAGATGCTTCACTGTGGATGATGGCGATGCAAGAGGAAATTGAAGCCCTTCATAAAAATAATACATGGGACCTTGTGCCACTACCACAAGGAAGGAAGCCAATTGGTAACAAATTGGTCTTTAAAATCAAGCGAAATGGTGACGATCAAGTGGAGAGGTATTGTGCAAGACTGGTGGTCAAAGGATATGCTCAAAAAGAAGGTATTGATTTCAATAAAAAAAAATTCTCCTGTGGTTCGACTAACAACAGTTTGGGTAGTCTTGGCAATGTGTGCTACATTGAATTTACATCTAGAGCAGCTAGATGTTAAAACAGTTTTTCTTCATCGAAATCTTGAAGAAGAGATTTACATGCTTCATCCTGAAGGTTTTGAAGAAGAAGAAAAGAAGAACTTGGTTTGCAGGTTGAACAAATCTCTGTACGATCTAAAGTAGACGCCGAGATGTTGGTATAAGAGATTTGATTCCTTCATTATGTGCCTTGGATACAACAGACTTAATGCAGACCCTTGTGCTTATTTCAAGAGGTCTGGTGATAACGATTTTGTTATATTGTTGTTGTATGTGGATGACATGTTGGTTGCAGGACCCAACAAAGATCATTTTGAAAAATTGAAGGCACAACTGGCTAGGGAATTTGAAATAAAGGACTTGGGATCAGCAAACAAGATTCTAGGGATGCAAATTCACCGAGACAGAAGTAATAGGAAGATTTGGCTTTCACAAAAGAATTACTTGAAGAAGATCTTGTCACGATTCAGCATGCAAGATTGTAAGCCAATTTCTATCCCTCTTCCTATTAACTTCAAATTATCCTCCAGTATGAGTCCTAGCAGTGAAGAAGAGAGGATGGAGATGTCTCGAGTACCGTATGCATCAGCAGTGGGAAGTTTATTGTTCGCTATGATATGCACAAGACCAGACATTGCACAAGCAGTGGGAGTGGTTAGTCGGTACATGGCGAATCCAGGCAAAGAGCATTGGAATACAGTAAAGAGGATCCTGAGATACATCAAAGGGACCTCAAATGTTGCATTATATTACGGAATATCAAACTTACTTATAAATGGGTATGTCGATTCTGACTATGCAGGGGATTTGGATAAAAGCAAATCTACTACAGGATATGTGTTCAAAATTGCTGGTGGAGTTGTAAGCTGGGTTTCAAAATTACAGTCAGTTGTGTATACATCCACAACAGAGGCAGAATATATAGCAGCTACACAAGCCAGTAAAGAAGCAATTTGGTTGAAGATGCTATTGGAGGAGCTTGGGCACAACCAAGAGTATGTCTCTATGTGTTTTGACAGTCAAAGCGCCTTGCATCTAGCAAGGAATCCAGCATTTCATTCAAGGACAAAGCACATACGAGTTCAGTACCATTTCATTCGTGAAAAGGTGGAAGAAGGAACGGTAGATATGCAGAAGATCCATACCAAAGACAACATAGCAGATTTCATGACGAAGGCAATCAAAGCTGATAAATTTACCTGGTGTCGATCCTCTTGTGGACTGTCAGAGACGTAAGCAACATGATGGTACAAGATAGAAAGAATGGTGTGAAGATATGATTGTTCCAATCAAATCTTCAAGTGAGAGATTGTTGAAAGCATGCACCGAAAGTGCATTTAGCAAGGTTGAAAAAAAATGAAATTTTCAACAATGGTAGGCACCAAATATAAAATGTCAAAATTAGGTGCAACAATGGTTGAAAACTAAATGGGCAAGATACAAACTTTAGTCACTAAACTTTTAGGGTATTCACAAGATTAGTCCTTAAGCTTCAACTATAAATACCCTAACCCATTTAGCTTCAAAACCATCCCAAAGCATTCTAGCTTTCTTCCAATACTATAGAGAATTTAGAGAGTTTCTTGAGAGTTGTTTTCTCCTTTTTATAAAGAGAGAATTATCATTGTTTTCTCCTTGGTAGATCGAGAGAAGTTGTAATTCATATTTTCTCATAGTGAAATTCTTATACCGTTGCCCGTGGTTTTTACCCTATTTTATTTAGGGGTTTTCCACGTAAATTTTGTGTCTCTTTTTATCTTCATTTTTTATTTTCTCAAATTATCAGTTGCGATTTTGCTCTATCCGATAGCCGTCTTCCGCAACACGGATCGGATCCTAAAAGAGCTTTCGAGCCGAATGTGAAGCTCTAAGAAACGTGAGGGACCGCAATCTCGTCAACCTAATCACGTCATGCTCGGGTCTGGACAACAAAAACGTGGAATTCCTGGCATTGGTGTACGAATGCCTTGTCAGTGTCGAAGACTGGCTTAAGGGGAACAAAAGGAATGCTGATGGACGCAGGTTAAATGTTATGGAAAGATTGAATGTGGCCATTGATGTGGCTTCTGCAATTGATTATCTGCACCACGACTGTGAAGTGCCCGTGGTGCACTATGATTTAAAACCCAGCAACATTCTTTTGGACCAAGACATGACTGCCAAGGTCGGCGATTTCGGGTTGGCGAGGTTGCTGATGGAGCAATCAAGCGATCAACCTTCCATTAGCTCCACCAATGTCCCAAAGGGTTCTATAGGTTACATACCTCCAGGTTAGTAGTAGCACAAACGCCCCAAAATGCTATTGACAGGCTCTAAGATTCAACTAATGAATCTGTTGTGTGATGCAGAGTATGGGGTTGGAGGGAAGCCATCAACAGCAGGGGATGTGTACAGCTTTGGAGTGATGTTGCTGCAGTTATTTACAGGAAAGAGTCCAACCCACGAAAGCTTCGTCGGAGAATTAAGTCTCATTAAATGGACACAATCGGCTTTCCCTTCCAATGTCAACCAGATTGTTGACCCTGAACTCCTATTATTGTTGCAAAATTTGCAGTACGATAACCGGCCGATCAACCGAGACCATGATTGCTTAAAAACAGTCATCGGAGTTGGACTGTCTTGCACCTCGGTTTCCCCCGATGGACGGATCACCATGAGAGAAGCCCTTCGCAAGCTTAAAGCAGTGAAGAACAATCTCACCAACCGACACCGTTAACCTCTAAGCAAAGAAAGAGCATGAATCAATTAATATTAGTGATAAGTTTTGGCATTATAGTAAGATTCCCAGATCAATTAATACGCTACTCGGACGCTGTAAAATAAATAAGCCAAAGTCTGTAACCAAAGCTCCGAGAATCGTGAGTGTTGGGTACCAGTTCTGTTTCTTATTTTCCTACATTCAAACCGAGTTGAATCACAGGGAGATGCAAGTCCCCTAACTCTTAAACTGCTTGAACATATCTGAAGCTTATGCTGTCTTTAGATTCGTTGGGTAAAGTACCAAAAAATACACCAACCCAAATAAAATATTATAAGTCATATAAATATTGGGTAAAGTATAAAATGGTCCCCGAATATAGGATACTATATTGCTCAGTCCCCTCAACTATTAAAAATTACAAAATGATCACTTGATTATTCATATGTTTCAAACTCATCGTTCTCGGTTAAAAGTTTTACGGTAATATGAGTTGGACGTTAATTTACTAAATGGAATATGAAAATAAAAATATGATTTCAAAACTGTTTTTAATTGTATTTTATGGATCGAGTCTCTATTTAGATTATGTCGTCGAGCTATGTCATCGAGCATGTCTTTGAAAGCAATGGTGGTACTTGTATGTCTCATTAAAATATAATTTTATTACATCTAGTCGGTAAGTTAACATCCAACTCAAACGATCATTAATAATTTAACCAAAAAAATGAATTTAAAATATATAAATGATAGAATGATGTTTTATAACTTTTAATAATCGAAACAATTGAAACAGTAAACATAATACATTGTAATTTATCCTAAAATCTTTCACATAACAATTTGTTTGAAATACTTTTTCGACTTGCCCAATATTCACAAAGTCAACGTCAGGCCACAACAATCACAAGCTAACAAAAAATCAACCACATTAGCCTTATTTGTTCTTTCTTTGTCACACTTCAACACTATTTAAATTCAGCAAAGGTCAACCTTCATATATAAGACACCCTCTTTTGTGTGATACAATAATAAAAAAGACAGCAACACCCATTTGCATGTCATTAAATATAAATGTGTAATAATGGGTCGTAATTCAGAGGTTTAATGGAGACGTAGGAACAAATTAAAATGACAGCATCAACGATCCACCACCATATCGTCTATCATTATTCTTATGTGTAAAAGGGGAAATTTTTTTAGGTAAATTGAGTATAAGAACATTAAATAAATAAATAAATAAACAGAGAAACCGACACTTGCATGATTCAAATCCAACCAAATCCATGCCTTATTTTCTTCTGTTTTTGTGTGAACAGTCTTCTGACAACCAAAAACAATGGATCCTATGTTGTCTTCTACCCTAAAGACATGGATCCAAGTTGACTATCTCTTACAACTTTACAGATTGTCTGATCTTGGGTTTGATTCGATTTTGATTGATCATTTCAGGGCCGTTGTATTGGGGGAGACTAAGATGACTCCAGGATCATAGTTGCCGGTGCATCACTGATGTTTTGCCTGTGGTTGTGATCCCCTTCATATGTTACAATCAGCATCTTCGGATCGTCTAATGCTCGTTCCACGTGTTTCCTCGCAGGACAACCTCTGACGCTGCTACACTTGTAATACCCCCTGCAAAAAGAAACGACTCAGGGAAACTCAGAGACCGAGTTAATTTGACTCGGAAACACCAAGCTACAACAAACTCACCTTGGATGAGGAGAACCCTTGATTGGTTTCTGCCCATATTTTCTCCAGGAATAATCATCAGGAGGAATATCAGCAATCTTATTGCTGATTGCTGGAACTCTAATAACTTTCTTCACTCTTGAATTCCTATATCAGATACAAAAAGTCAATAAAAATGATGAAACTTTTAAGATCAAATTAGATCAAAGGAATGAAAATCCAACCTCTTCTTGGAGCAATGGCAACGACCAGATGATGATCCACACTTGAGAGCAGCAGCATCCATGGAATTGCATTTCCTTTTCAAAGAGGAAGAAAGTGGAGGTTTACCAGATGGACCATGGGAAGAGAAAGATGGCAGCTGCATGCTATCACTATCCCCTGTCATCGATGAGAAATTAATCGTGCCAGATCCTTCACCGGTCTTCACCGCCACCGTAACAGCGCTGTTTTTACTCTGTTGATGATTATGAGGCAAAGGAGGCAACCTATGAACTTGTTGTGCCGGACAAAACGGCTTAAAAGCAGACACCTTTGCTTTGGTTTCTAATCGCTTGTGTTTCTCGTCTTGTAGGAGAGGACTAACCGGGGCGCGTCGGAACCGAGCATGGCCGGCTCTGGGACGACCCAACAAAGAAATAACCTTCTTGAAAGAATTTACAGTCTTATCTGTAGCAGCTTGGATCTCAATGCTTGACTCTGAATCTGATGAAGAAGAAGTTTTAAAAGAATCGTCTTGATTGTAAAGATGTTGAGCTTTGGACATCAATCTTATCAATTCCTCAAAGCCTTGAATCCCAGCAGTTGCAGCTTCTTTCAAAGCTGTTTCCCCAGCAACACCATATCCCATCATCAATTCCACCGCCATTTTCGTTCTTCCAAAGAAGAAACCCAGAAATTTGATTTTATAGGGAAATACTTGGAATCGGAGACGACTTGAAATAGGGATGAAAAGAAAAAGAAAAGTCAGAAAAGTAAGGCTAATTGATTCGAGTCAAAAGCGATGCCTTCACAACACAATGCATTGTGCATCGTGTCACCTGACATCTCTCGTCCTTCAGCCTCAAACATACCGTCCAATAATATCATTCCACGTATTCCAAATTGTCAGCCCATTGACCTACATGCTTTAAAAAAGGTAAAGAATAAACTACATCATAAGTCACTTAATTATATTCAAATGACTGTTTTGATCACTGTCAAAAGTTATAAAATAGCTATTAAAGATTTACATATTGGTCACTATAATATTATAATAAGTGTAAATAATGGATAATTTTAATTATAATTATGTAATAATTTGACAAAATTTAATAATTATTTTAAAATTTTACAACTTTCAAAAGTTTGGTGACTATAAGGATCTTTTGAAAATAATTCAGTGGTCTTTAGTACATTTTACCTAAAAGTAAAATTCCTCGGCAACCGGATAAACAGGTTTCGAAGACCGTATCAAAGGGATGATAAAAGGGAAAAAGCAGAAGGTCAAAAGGTGGAGATTAGCTGGTAGTGTACACATTTAACAGCTTTTAATGCAAATCTAATTAAATAGTCATCTGTGGACCAACGAAACAGAGCTCCACTTATTTTACCTGTAACCGGAAGTGGAGTCAAAGTTATGTCCACAATTCACGTGGGATTCTTTCTTCAAATGATATAAGAGAGTGGACCCGACCAACAACCAATTAATTTAGTGGGTGAGACGTTAGGTTATTAAGTAAGGTTAGGGGTTCGAATCATAACGTTTGCGAATGAAGTAAACTAGGGTGGGAGGGTCGTCATTATCTTTATAGTGCCCGATCTAAATTAATCAATTAATAAATCAAATACTAGTGATTAATTAAAAATAATAATGGACCGGCAGCCGTTTGATTTTTATAAATTCAATTTAGTCTTCAATATTATAATAATTTAGGGTCAACTATCCTTTCGCCTGTACGTCACTATTTTATTGGAACAGTTTTATTGTTATCATCAAATTATAATTTTTTATAATTAAATTATTATACATTAATTGTTAATAAAAATGTTTATATAAAAAATAAGTAAATTTATATAATTACATATTTAGTTCACATTATTTTATAGTTTTTGTTAATTTATTATATTTTAATTAAAAAAATTAATAATCCTCCAATAAGATAATGACACGTGTTATAATCTTGTTGATAATAATTAAGAAAGGAAAATAAGATGAGAATTGGCAGACTGAAACCAGGGAAAAGATAGTTTAAGAGCACCTGACAATTGAGCCAAATATAAGACTTGATTAATCGTTGATAACATTTTGTATTTACCTTATTAATGAAAAGTAAAGGAAATAGAAATGGGGTTTTGGATTCAAACTTTGGTCTATGGGTATAGATATTAGGAGTGAGTATTCGATCAAGTTAATCGAGTTTACGAGTATTATTTTATTAATTGGATTTTATTATTATTATTTTATTTGTTTTTATAAAATTCGAGTCAATTCAAATTGGATATATTTTTAATATTTTTATTTAAATTTAAATATAATTATTAATAATGTCATGATACTAATTGGTTCCAAATTAAACAACTCTCTCTAATCATATACAATATTATTTTTTACATGCATAAGTGAGATTTATAACGTTATTTAATTAATAAAATATCATTTAAAATTATATAATAGATTTATAATGCTATTTTAAAAAAATATATTTTAAGGAATAAGTATTGAATGGAGTACAAAGGAGTCAAAAGTTGCAATCAAGGTACCAAATCAAATAAAATGTAAACTTGAGGGACTAAATTGAAAATAAAAAAATATTTTTAAAATAAGAATTAAAGTTACATAAATATTCTACAATGGTGAAAGAGCATGTTGTTCAAATTTGGTTGAAAATAGACATAAAACTAGGAAGAATTGAAGAAATAAGGAAATTATGCAAACTTAAACAACTAAATTGAAAACGTCGGAAATTTGTTGTCAAGAATATGAATTGAATCCACATAGGTATTCTATAATGATTGAGGAGCGTGTGTTTCAAATTTGATCAAAAGTAAACTTAATCGAGAAAGGAACTCAAGAAACAAAATAAATTAGAGGCCATATCACAAAGTAATCAAATTACTTGACTAAAGACCAAAACGATAGCATTTTAATTTTAGATTTATTTAAAATTTGAAAATCCAAAGTAGACTAGAACTCAAACTCACAAAGTAATCAAATTACTTGACTAAAGACCAAAACGATAGCATTTTAATTTTAGATTTATTTAAAATTTGAAAATCCAAAGTAGACTAGAACTCAAACACTGAAAAAAATTTGAATTGAATCAAAAAATATAAAATTAAGAAATAATATTATTTCGAGTCGAATGGAGTGTTAATCACCCTAATAAGCACACATTATACCTGAGCCAAATCCAATATTTAATCATAGTTTACCATAAGTTGAACTATTATAATAATAATATACAATATTTTTAAATGAAAAGTAAATGGACTGAAATCCTAGAAATAAAAGTAAGAATACTTAATTCCAAATGTGCAAAGAGTACAAGGATTTAGAACACATTTTAACCTTTTAGAATTGAGAAAGGTTTAAAAGGCGCAGATGAATTTTCTGTTTATTGAGAAAGATTTTAGAATATAATTAATATTAAATAGATAAAATATGTAAACATTGAGAGTTATTATTATCCTAAATAAAAATAAGAAGAAAAAAAAACAATTTCACTAACAATTTAGCGAGAGAGAACTGAAATTGATCAAAATAATCTCTTGGTAAAGTTTGATCAAATTGACCCCTAAACTTTTACAAGTCATTAAATATACAATAGATTTGAACTTGCATATTAGGTTATAAATGTAGGCCTTATCATGGATTTCATACCTTCGCTTTACAAAATTTGACAAGTTAGCCCATTTACTTTAAGTTTATCATAAATTGATTATCATATGTTATGAAAATTGACAAGTTAATCCAATAATTGATAAACACATAAATTTGATATGTTGATTTTTGCATACAAATGCTTATTTTTACAAGTTAATGATTTAATGATAAAGCTTAATAGTATTACCCAATTGAACTAGTCTTTCAGTTTTCATAAAGTACGAGGATCATATTCTGATAAACTAAAATAGATAGAATAATTTCACAGCTTTCACAAAATAGAGGGATGGAATGAAGCATAAGACCAAAAATGTACCATTAATTTAGCTTTTTCAATAGTTTGAAGTGCATTGGTGAAACCAAAGGGAGTTTTATTAAATAAAGTCAACATCATGTGGCCAACAAAATAAAAAGTCAACATTGATATAATCTAGAAAACGTGTTTTTGAATTAAGATAATTTTCTCCCACTTTCCATGTGTGAATGTCAACTAGATTAAACATGGAAGACCGTTTACTATATAAATATATGTTTGAATTGTTGACAAAAAAATAAGTACGAACAAATATTAATAATTATAAAAATATTTTAAAATCATTAATTCGGTGACATAATGTTTCAAGCATTGGCTCGACGACATAATACAAATAAAGAGTTTATCTACAAAATACAGCTCAAACAGTTATGAATATTAAATTTTATCATATCCCAGTTAACATGTTTGTGTTCAGCTCAGACGACTATCAATTTTAATATAAAAGGGCAAGTTTATAAAATATAAATAGTCGGGTATTTTAATAATCGAGAGACTTAACAAAACAACATTCTAATTTGAGAGAAGCAAAGTGATCCATAAACATCATGAGTCCAATAGTATGTTTTCTGCTAATTCAAGAAGACGACACACATTTGTGTGTCATAAATTTATGACACGCATTTATGACTTACATTGCGTGTCATTGAAGCACACATCATTAGAAAAGATTACACACATTCGTGTGTCGTAATTGTATGTCATATATATATATATATATTGTAGATTGACAAATAATCAAACTAAATCACATTTAATGCCTCATAATACTAAATATATTTATCATATTATATATAAGCAATCCATTTGCATACAATATATTAACATTAAGTTATCAAAAATATTATAATCATATGTCGATACAAAATATCACGGCATAATAAAGTTTTCCACATAAGATACTCATTCTTTGCGAATATCAAACATGTCGACGTTGCGGGAGATGCAACTCCTCTAGCTTCTTCTGTAATTTTGAAGTTGCTTCTTCAAAGTCGAGAACTCTTGAAACAGGCTGCGAATGAGCATTGGCTTCAACTGAACTAGTAGGAACATCAAATGCACCAGCTGTTCTCGAACCCTTCCCAAAATTAGAGTTGATCACCTTTGGTTTCCACTCCTTATTTGAACTAACTGCCGATGACATACAGGAATTAATACTTTGCATATATTAATCAAGCATCAACTATATTCAGGTGAGAACATAAAGTAGTCCAAACATTTGTAAAGAGCAAACATTTTCATTTATGGTTATCAAGTCATCACTCATCACTAAGTAATATGAAAAGAACGAAAAATCAAGTAAATTTGTGGTAAAGGTATCTTAAGCTTTAAAAGCTTTACTTTTCATTTCTCACAGTTACACTGTTATTTAAGGCGATACTTCTATTTACATATGGGTAATTCACCATTCCTTCTCGGTTATAATGATGATTTTCATTCAAACTTGCAACAAACATGCTACTGAATTCTATTTCGCTCAGAGGAAAAGGTGATTGATATCCATTTACCAAAATTAGTTATAGATTCCAATGATTATAAGGAGTAACATAGTGGGTCTGAACTCCGAAAATCCTTAATCAATCAAACAAAGGAGGGCATTCAACTAAACTTTCTTGGTCTAAGTGAATTTAGATAAATCACATCTCTAACAAATATCACACATATCTTGATATCTAGGTTAGATCGAGACAACTTAAGCATCCATGTACAGTCTATCAAAAAGCCAAAAATCAGTTTTTTTTGTATCAGAAGGATTATAGCACAAAATCCACAATGTTTCTCTGGATTTACCCAATTAAGCCATAAAACCAATAAAACACCATATAAGTTTCATCAGCAATTACCAATATATAAAAAAGTTACAAAACAACATTGATTTGGAAACTGAAAAGTTAAATACTAATCCATTCTACCTGCAGGTTTCTTTGATTTGGATCCAATAAATCTGTTATTTTCTCATTATATATCTGCAAAAGAAAATTGAAAATGAAGTGATAAGGAACAAGAATAGTACAACGCTAAGCAGTCCAATTATGTCAAAACTAAGAATCAAAATAATTCAATTAACTCTACCTCAAGAAAAGAACAGCGGATTTGATACTTGAGATGTTTATCAGCATGCTTAATTCACAAGTTCTAAACCAGAAATATAGTATAACTCAAATACCCACCTTGGCACATAGAACTCCAATTGCAATCCCTCTAATGTGGGAAAGACGGACAATAATGCATAAAGTATGGAAACATGAATTACTCAATTGCACTGATGTAGCAAATTAGATTACTACAATACATACTGATCAGCTAGTAACCACATAAGTCACATATAAGTTAAATGTCCTCGGGAATATACCATTAATAGTAATTTAACTTTGAAATAGGCTTGTGATGCTATATGCATGAAAAATAGAATACACGAAGGATATCATAAAGGCAAAAACAAAAAATTCATATATCAGTTAAAAGCATAGGAGTAGAGCCCCAAACAAAGGGAACTAATTAAAAACACGAAAAATATTAGGAACAAAAGGTATATTGATAGTGGAACTTACATTTTATTAAAGAATGTTTCCAGTAATACTGAGAATTAAGCAACGTTGCAGCAACGTTGGTTCCTTCCAATGGTGTGACGTTTCTAAAATTATCATCTCTTACACAAACAACATATTTGTGATCATACTGCAATCTAAAAGAATTCCCAGAGTCTTTATTTGTCTCCAAATTTTCATTTTCATCAGCTACATGGAAGTTGAGACACAAATTTAGTCCATAATCAACTTCCTGGGGTGAACTTAAAGTTTCAGCATATTTGACAAACTGATTCTGACCATCCTTGAAGTTAACAACGTATGTTAGTGGACATGGTTCCCAGCCACAAAGACTTATAAGCTTTTGAGCCTGAAAATTTCAAAATTAATAATCTTCAACACCAACAAGAACTCAAGAATGCATAAATGATAAAACCACAATCATCAATGCAGAAAATGTTAAACTTGTAAAGTCATAAATTGGAGAAACCATTGGATTATTATCACTCTTTTTTACCAAAGCAGGTGGAATGATATGAAATTGCAGTAGAAGGAAGTTTCATAAAGGAACATGCATGTTTAAGTGTACATGTTCCTATGAAGCTGAGACTGGAAAATATTTTCAGCCCTAATGTGTTTTTAATTGCAAACTACAATGAGAAACAAGTTTCATACATGATAGTACAAGTTAGCATAATCCACAACATATCCATCTTTTATACATTCTATTTGAGAAAATTCAGCGTTCCTTTTCAGACAATCCACCATTAGGGGTTGTCTGAGAAATTCTTCGAGTTGAGGATTTCTCATAAATTCAATGGCTGAAGATGAAATTACTGGAAGAGTCATAAGTTGAAAGAGTGAGTTCGATCTCGCCCGGAATTTATCAACCAAATCAGCAGGCACAGTGGGAGGAAATTCAGTCAGTCTTTCATCACAAACATTGTCAATCCAAGGGCAAGTCAATTTGTGTCCACTATTCAGCTTTAAGCTAAACACTGAGGCCACATTCTCTACTGAAGAACATAAAAAAAATGATATCTAATTTATCCTACAAATACTAGAATTTTCAAACTATCTGGAAAAAATTAAGCAATATTAGATACATAACATGCCTTGTTGTTGTGTCCAAGAAGGTGGGGTCGAAAATAGGAGATGTGTTCCGCATGATTCACAGGCCAGAATTTCCATATCCACATTGACCCAACCTCTCATAGCACAATTAACAAAATTTACTACCTAAAAAGAATGGAAAACATTATCATCTCTTTGAATTAAAAAAAAAACCCAAAAAGCATAGGAAAGGGTAGGGTAAGAATATAAAGAAGATAGAATAGAAACCTTGGGCTTAGCAAACCAAGTCATGGATTTGAAAGTTGATAGTCTCCTGAGAAGATCTCCTCTATCCCATGGTCTGCAAAGTGGAGATTCACTCGCAGCTAAGCCATGCTGATTCTCTTCTGCTGCTAAAGAATACGTTGGATTTGAGCATTTCTTTGCTCCTAATAATTGTTCATGTATCCCCATTCCCGTTCCCGGTGGCGATGGACTACCCATTAATTACAATTACAAATACATTTTATATAAAAAAAATAGCAGTAGTGATGAGATTTAATTGAAACTTCAAGTTTCATCAAACAAATCAGTGGTTAAAACTTAAAAAAATAGAAAAAAGAAAACATGGAGTGGAAGAGCTTGTCCATGATGGAATGAAACCTCTTCTTTGGATCATTGGCCATTTCTTCTTAATGGAACAATAATAATCTCTTGGCTTTACAAAAATGAAAAAAACAAGGATTTTGTTCAACTTTTGCCGCTCCTACAACCACTTGGCTCTTCTAACCATTGTCTTTCTTACCCCCTGTATCAATTCTCCTTTGATGATTTTGGGTGTTCTCGTTTGGATTTTAGAGGGTAGGGTTTGGGGAAGAAGCATTCTCCATTTGATCTCTTAATATCGTGTTTCTTGGTAACATGAATGCAAAGAGAAAAAAAGGAAGCATAGGTTTAGTGTGAACTGATGATCCAGGGGGAAGAAGCGGGAAAGGATGAAAATTATGGGGGGGGGGGGAAATTAAAAGATGACTTTTACAGATGACACACAATTAAAAGTGTACTCCGTGTTTTTGCAATTTTTTTGGATTATGACTATTAAATATGACACACATTATTGTAAGTCATAAATTGTTCAGATTTTAAGAAACATGACATTTTTTTATGACACACGTTTTTTGCAAGTCATAAATTAGCGTGTGTCATCGTTCATGTGTCATTAAAGGTATATTTTCTTGTAGTGAAGGATGGAATACACAACAAATTCTAATTTTTCACAGTCCACACACACAACACACACCAAATACAAACCAATGAAAAATAGAGGACTATAACTGGAACAAGAGCGCAGACGCTTAAACCAATGCAAAGAAATAACATCTAGATGAACCGGCAATAGCAACCCAAACTAAACTTATGTCAGGCACTGTGAGTTGGATATATGCACTTTCTGAAAAAGAATAACTAGCTCCCAGATTGCATAGGATTGCAATAGTCTCAAACACAAACAATAGCTTAATTCCAAGAATCGATAGCAACTCGAGAACACCCTCTCTCCCATATCAATTGGCCTGGGAAGAGTTTGAAGTCTCTCAAATAACACAACTGACAGAATCTAACCCATACCTAGGATAACGGGAAGACACTGGACTGGAAAGGCGGCTAACAACAAACGCCGACTGCTGAAACGATTGACAACCGTCTCTCAAGCACCTTCTCTCATGAAACTGAAGAATCCACACCAAAGCATCACCAAATGCTAAAGTTGTTTCAACTTCAAACACACAACCCAAACGACGCCCAGAAATAACCCCACCATGGCTTTCATTATCTATCATCGAAACTCTAGGATAATACAACCCACTCCGACCTACGTTTTCGACTTCTTCCTTTAAAAAAAGTAATTAACTTGAAAGAACTCCTCACATGCTTAGAAAAAAACCACCTATTCCAAAAAGGCGCATCCTGCATCCTGGAATAAAGAAAAAGAATGGGAAGCCACCACTGACTTAAAACTTTGAAAAACTCCATTTGCCCATAACTTTCAACAACAGACTTGAAAAAAGGCCCAACATTAGAAAAAGTGAGACTTCAAAAAACCCCTCTACACCAGTTGCGATAAACTCCACTAAGACATCCATATGCACCGAAATGCTGCCAACATTCCACTATCGATAAAATACCTCTGACTCAACACCTTGAACTGCATATCCCCCATACCACCTTTTTCGGGACCAATATTTTCTGCACATGCCACAACGAAACCATAACCATCCGCCATAACAACAGAAACTAAATGCCACACTCCGCCCTCGACCAAATATCCATCAAAGAAAGCATGGACCTCTCAACAATGTTGAACTTCCATAAGAAGCAAACTCCCAAGTTACAGAAGCTGTCAGCAAACTCAGACCAGAACTAAACAACCCTCCAATCGACACTATAGGCATGTCGAAATAGACTATTACCAACAACCACCATATTACAACAACAGGAAGTCAAACCCAGCTTCTGCAGCAGAATCCTCTAGCAACCAAGGACACATTAACACCAACACTGCTGAATTCATCGCTCCACCACCGTTCGGAGTGCCATCAAAAAACACAAAATGCAAAACACAAAAACATAAGCGGCCAGAGGACAACATCTTTCGAACAAAACCACACACTCCATTCAAACTAAGAGACGAAGAAAAGAAACAACGGCGACGAAAACAACGCCGACAAAACACGAACCGCTCAATCGCGAGGCAGTGGCCACCACCATCACCATCCTTGCTGCTAAAAACAATTTATTCAAAGGTAAAATAACAAAAGAAAGAAAAGAATCGGCGGCCAGTAACCAGCCTTAAGGGCTGGTGCCATCGCCTCCGCAAAACCAAGTAAAAGCAACAAGAAGAGTTTTTTTTTAATGTTTTTTTTCTATTAGCATCATACAACCCCTTGAATCTTATGTGTTATATATATATATATATATATTGTTAATGAATCTTCAACTAAAATTATATTTATTTAAGTACTTCTATACGATAATCCTTTCATATCCAAAAAGAAATAAACTATTAATTAAATTAATATTACAGGTTATTATCTATTTGAATGTAAATTTATTATTATCTCACTTATACTTTTTATTAAGTTTTTTAATATATGTTTATCTAAAATATTTTTTATTCATTTATATCATTATTTTATTAAAAAAGTGTTAAAAGATGGTGAATTAAGCACGAAATTCAAGCCCTTGGTTTTATAGTAACTTCGCCATTTTGGATATTTGTCTTCATGAATTGGTGGATTAGGTTAAGCAACTCGAGTTGCCAAACGACACGAAGAAAACACCAACTTTTTTTTATAAAGAAAATGAACTCAAGTTACGAAATAATGATTTTAAAAAACATAATAAAGACATAATATAAGATATAAAAGGGATATATTAATTATAAATATCAAGTGATAAGCTATGAGAAAAAGAGGAAGAGAACTTCTAAATAATATATATGGCGAGGACCAGTTGGGATTCAAAGTCGAAATTTCAGCTCATAAGACGTACTGGAAAGGGATTCCTTGAGAAAATGACAAATGAAAATGAATAAAACATTCATTTAAATAATTACCTATTTTTTTGTTCAAAAAAATTACTTTTGCTAAAAAAACCCTAATGACTACTCTCTCTGAAGACGATGCCTCCGCTCCATGCAACCCTAGGAAGCAACGACGAATTGATGATGATCCTCCTGATCGTGAGGGGATCGATAGTGTGACTACTAAAGCGATTAACTCAGGTCCTGCTCTTTCTTACAAAGACTCCCTCTTGAAGGAAAATCCTTCTGTCCCAAAGGAAGATGATGAGATTATGGATGAAGAAGACATTGATCTTGAGGAAGACGATGTCGTAAGGAGTACTTATGATGATCTGCCGACTATCACTTTTCTTCTAGATTTCTGTCCTTGGTCGAAAAATCTTTTGAACAAACTGTTGTGGTTAAGTTGTTGGGACGTAAGATTGGATGGACTCCAGATTTTTCCTCCTCTGATCCATACCTGAAGACTGTCATGGCATGGATAAGATTTTCTGGCCTTCCGGTCACCCTCTATAAACGTAGCATTATCATGGACATAGGCGAGTGCATTGGTCCTGTCATTAAAATTGATTAACAGACAGAGAACGGTAGGAGAGGTAGTTTTGCTCGTATGGCAGTCACAGTGGACCTCAACAAACCCCTTATTTCAAAAATTATAATCAATAAAAGAACTCAGATTGTTGAATATGAGACTCTTCCCGTTGTTAGCTTTAAAAGTGGTACGAATGGACATACCTTGGATGGCTTCCGTGTAGGTCAATCTGAGCAACAAAAAGAATCGACTGGTGAGGCGTCTATTGCAACGAACCAGACCTTCAATGATGGACCTTTTGATCCTTAGATTATTGTCGAAAGACGCCAGCGCTGAAATAAAAAGAAATCGGAGACCTTGCCAAGCGCTTCTAATGTTGTGGGTTTCACTGACTCAAGATTCAACCCGATATTTGTTAATGAAAACGAAGGTGGCAATGTGCATAATGTTGATACCAGACTCCCCCTCAAGTTCAAATTCAACAACCAGCCAATACCCATGCCAAAACCCAGATCGAGAAACAAAGGAAAAGCTCTGGCAGTCACCAATTGATCCAAAACAGTTAATGTACGCAAACCCCTCGTCGCCACTCTTGTTGATTTTTTGGTGCCTACTCGAAATATTGGGAGAGATGGAGGTTCTCATCTTGCTGCTTCTACCTCTAAAATAGTTCCTCTAGATGGATCCAAGCATTTGATCGTTGTGATAGATGAGAATGCTAACCCAAACACCATAGCTATCTCTGCGGATGCGAGTCGGGTTCCATCAACTCACAGAATTCTCCTTCGGGAGATCCCCCTGATAATGGCAGGTAGATGACTGAGTTACAGCCAGAGGTCCCTCCCTTAGCAACAGGAAATAGACCTGTTAGGTATGGCTCATAAATATACCAGTAAAGAGGACAGGAGATGGAGCGGAGTGAGTGAAGTGAACATCAACTGTCCTTACAAAGAAAGTCTCGTTGTGGGGTTACGAATTATGTGGGTTGGGGGTGCGGGGGCGCAGGCCCCGCGGTACGGTACAGGGTTAATTTTGTAATTATGTACCAGGGTTTTCTATTATAAATAGAGATGTAACCTAGACCTAAAATATCATTGAATAAAAACTTCTAGCGCCGCCTAGGCACCGAGGACGTAAGCACATTGCCGAACCTCGTAAAATTCTCGTGTTCTTTTGTTTTCTTTACCCGTTTTCGTCAACAAGACCCCTACCCAGTGTTCATCTTAACAGAGATCATCTTGTTATGGCTAGTAACCATGTCGTGGTAATGCTTGATAGTGCCCAAGCTGTGTCAATGCTTGACAGTGATCATGCTGTGGCAATGCTTGAATAAGCACGGTAACCTCGACTTCCTTTGCCTGTTTTTATCAAATGAATCTAAAAATTTTATCTTAGAATGTTAAGGGTTGTGGGTACTTTAGATTTATTCCCGCCATCATATAGTTCTTGCATGATTTTCATCCGGATTTGGTTTTATTTGTGGAACCTTGTTTTAGTGGCTGTAAAGCATATTCGGTTATTGTTTCGCTTGGATTTCGAATTCCCATTGGATTAAGGCCATGGGGTTTTCCGGT